TTTTTAATTAAAAAAAAAAAAAACATTTTAAAAAACACACTTTGTTTTAAATGACTTTTATTTATGACTTTTAACAGGCCCCTGGATTATATAGATTGACTACATGTACCTTGTGAAGTGAAAACAAGTGTTGTTATTCTTTGGCAGAGTCATTTCATTTTAAGTCAGATTTCCAGTGTACTGGTAAAGTTAGTGTGTGCAGACAAAGATATGTTCTGTTTTGTATAATGTGGAGTTAGTATACATTTAACAAAATGTATTTTTTTAAAAGAAAATGATCCATTTGACCAATTGTGTTTTGTAGGTGTGAGTCTGTGTTAAGAGTTTAGAAAAGTATCTCAAGCATGGGTAAGTGCTTGTTAGAAAAAAAAATGTGATCGATATTAAGGTTCTGTTATATTAGGGATGTAGATGCAGAAATGTAGTGCAGAATATGTAGTTCATAAGTACTGATAAGCAGTCTATCTTAATAGCAGCAGGTACTGTAATAAGCCACTATAGCTAATGGTAGGTTAAAGTGTGTACTTCTGTTTATCTATTGAAACTGATATGTTTGGGATAAGAAATACCATAAATAGATTTATTATAAATATACTGTAGATTTTATGAAAATCTGCTTAACATTTATATATTGAATATTACTAATATATTTAATACTTTCAAATGGAAAAGAGCTGTGTTAGATATTGTGTAAAGTTTGTATAGTTTTTGATCAAATAAACACTGGCTTGATTCAGCATGACTGACATCTTTCAAGAACACAATAAAATGAGTCAAAACATAAAAGCAAAACAGATTTTTTCCCCTTACACATTTTTCTTATGTACAGCCATAGACACAAACGCACACACATACATGTAGACATAAGAAAAATAATAGCACACTTTAACTTAACAGCCATCATTTGAACGTGGCTTTTGAGTTAATGGAACAAAAAAAAAATCGGCAAAACAATGGAACAGCAAAAATAAAGCCCTTTCCGTGCTCTGAATGACATCTAGACACATTATATTCTAAATTAATACTCTTCACTGCATGTTTTCTACATGTACAAAATTGCTTTTGAAAATTCCATTTGCTGCAAACACCAAAACTGAATGCTGATGCAAACCTCTATGATGTGCTTCCATCATTGTGTTTGCTAAAAATGGTCAGTAATTCTGTTTCCTTGCTTGACAGCCTGCTTTTACTCTCATTTGGCACTTGGCGAGTATTTTTAGACACTGTGTCCACACCTATGAACCTGACTGTCGATCTGCCTGTCTGTCTGTCACTTCTATGTGTCTGTCTGTCCATCACTGCACTCCTTTGTGTCTAGAAACCACCACAGCCTGCTTTAGTTTCATAGAAATCTCTAAACATCACTATTCATTCTTAGAAAGGCTGACTGGAACAAAAAATAACCTTTATCATCAGTCTAATCAGTTTGTTTTTGGTACTCTCAGAAATAAAGAAATGAAAGCTTTCACTGGGGCAGTTCCTTATTCTATTGTGTAGGTGCATTGCACATTTGGACATTTTAAATATGTGTATGACTTTTACTACCTATATGAAATATATATTTATACATTCATTCATTCAGATTGTAACTTTTCATGATGCGTTTGCTATTTATTTTTTTGGTCTGCATCCCTGTAATAGTGTGTCATGTTGCACTTATAAATTATGAAAAATTATTTTGTAATTGTTTATATTAATTTATAACATACATGTTTGGTTTTAGGTCACAGTCTGTGTACATTTCTGTATATGATATGCTCAGTAAAAAAGTCAAATAGAAATAAAATAAATTTCTGTAATCTAAATACAATACAAAATGAATTCAATAGCACAAATAATACTAAAATTAACAGTGCTTTTCAGGTTCTTCATGTACATAACATTAGTTTTTAGTTACATGCACTGAAAAATATAATGAAATAACACTGCATACTGTATAAAATCTTCACTGTATCCATTAAAAAGAGTTGTTCTATAATATAATAAGCTATAGGTATTCAGTCTAGAACAGAGTTATTTTTAGTGTCTTCAGTTGTTTGATTAGTTTTAAAAACAGACAGCAGGAATAAGATTCTTTTATGATGCAGCACAATGAGGAAGTTGCAGATAACACAATTTCCCAAATGTTTACATTTCTTATTTAAGAGAATTTCTTATTTCTTATTTTTTATTTCTTATTTGACTTAATTTATTACTCATTATTTATTTACATTGGGCTTACATCACTTTCATTTTCAGGTGAAAGCCTCTCCCTTGCCTTTCTTATCTCCTAATGTCACTAGTTAACACATTCAATGCAATTTTTCCAACACATTCCATAATTTCTAAAAAAAAATCAACCTCTACTAAATGGTCAGTATATGGTAAAAGTATATGTCGATATATGGTAAAATTACCAGAATTAATACAAATACTATAAAAATCAGAAAAATATGAAGTGTAAGACCAATAAATCATCTTTATGTTTTTTGATTTTCCATAAAATCTCTCATTTAACACGTTTTCTTATTTTTTAACAATTAACCCTAAATAAAGTGTAGCAGTGCAACAAGATTATGATTGTTTGACGTCTTTTAAAAACAGTCATTCTTCAAATGACTTTAACAGTCATTATTTAAAACAGCCAAAATATTTTTTATATAATTTTATAATTTACATACCATTTGGTAGACAGGAAGTTACAGGATTAAAGGAATGGGTAACATGCAAAATACATTCTTTTTTATATTAATGCAAAGCCAAAAAAATGCAATATCCATATGTATATTATTGTACCATGGTAGTATTGTGTCATTCCTAATATACAGTTAAAGTCAGAATTATTAGCCCCCCTGTTTATTTTTCCCTCATTTCTTTTTAACAGAGAGGAGAATTTTGCAACACATTTCTAAACATAGTAGTTTTAATAAATCATTTATTTTATCTTTGTCATGATGACAGTACAGAATATTTTACTAGATATTTTTCAAGACACTTCTAGTCAGCTTAAAGTGACATATACTGTAAAGGCTTAACTAGGTTAATTAGGTTACCTAGGCAAGTTAAGGTAATTGGGCAAGTTGGGCAACGATGATTTGTTCTGTAGACTATTGAAAACAAATAGCTTAAAGAGGCTAATAATTTTGACCTTAAAATGGTTTCTAAAAAAATAAAAAAAACGCTTTTATTCTAGCCGAAATAAAACAAATATGACTATACTCAGAAAAAAAATATAAACATCAGACGTATTGGGAAATCTTCTTGCTCTGTTAAAAAAATAATTTGGGAAATATTTAAACAAAAAAAAGTTCAAAGGGGGCTGAAAATTCTGGGCTCTATTTTGACGGTACATGCGCAAAACGCTTTTAGGGCGTGTCAGAACGCATTTTTGCTAATTTACGGACGGGAAAATCCACTTTGCGCCAAGGCGCATGGGCTAAAAGGGTTGAGTTTATTTTATTATTGAGTTATAGGTGTGTTTTGAGAATAAACCAATTAGAGTCTCATCTCCCATTCCCTTTAAGACCCAGCTGCGTCGCGCCAAGAGCGCATTCGCTATTTACAGGACGCAAAGTAAGTCTAAGTGGAAAAAATGAGCATTTCACAAGCAAACAGTTAACAGTTGACAGTTTTTTAACAGAAAACTGTTAAACAGAGCATCTACTGAGATAATGGATCACTTTCACTTTCGCTCTTGGACAGGGAAACCTTTACGCACAGACATCAATTAGCCTATAAATAATTAATTTTGTTTGTTAAGTGCAAATATTTGTTTCAAAACTATTTCTAAATTCAGTTCTAATTTCCAGCAAACGAATAAATGATCAATAATGACCAAGTGTGGTCAATATACTTTCCAAATACACCTGCTATGCCCCATATATTCTAAAACCTGACAGGTGAGCAAATCTAAGCTTGTTTTTAATAAAACAAATATAAATATGGATAAAATAAATAATACTCTTAATAATAATAACATTATACAAAAGCAAATTGTTATGAATGAAGACATAAAAGCAGAGATTTTTCATATTTATGTAGGCTAGAAAATAATGTGTTTTGTAATATTTTAATCCTTTATATATTGATATCCTATATCTAGTCTTATTATATTCTATATATATCCTTAATATTAAAATTTTTGTCATATGTAAAGATATTTGCCTATTGCTCTCTTGTGTGTATTAAGCAGTGCGTAAGCGAGGCGCAACTCTGCGCCGGAGTTTAGACCGGGTTAGTTTTGGTCTAATGAAAAATCTATTATAGTTTCTCAAAATAGCAACGCGCCAGCGGTCCCCCTCAGAACGCCTTCCTTTTTAGACCAGAACGCCTATGGGTGCACAAATGAGCACTAATGCATTTGCTATTTAAACAGCGTAGCGCAACGCCTCAAAACGACTCTTGCGCCAAGCTGAAACTACCAAAAGACTACTGCGCCACGCCTTGCGCCACACTGCGCCGGGTGTATGATAGGGCCCTCTGACTTTAACTGTATATACAATGTAGAGAGTGTAGGCAGAAAAGCTTTTGTCAGAAATAGGGCAACAGGATTGGAAAATTAAAAAAGGACCTCAAGCCAATTTTCTTTTTACCTGTCACAAACATACACAGCAAAGCTGTTCTGATATTTTTTAAAAATGACAAAAAGATTAAACCTGATAATTAGTAATAATACTAAAGCATAACAAGTGCTTTATACAATATTTATGTATTCATTAATTAGCAGGATGGTTATTTTTTCAAGTAACAATTTGAAAAATATCCCCAACTACATACATTTTTCCTAAATTTTTTGGAACTTTTTATACCTTGAGTGTTTTACCTAAATGTGATAACATGAACATTTTTGTGGAATATAAAACACCTTTTGGAAAGGTACTATCACAGTAACAGCTTTTGAGCCTTTATTTCAGACAATTTTTGGATTAGTGCTAAATCTCCAGATGTGTTTGTTTGTTTGTTTGTTTGTTCTCCTGTATGTTTGCATATGAACATGACGATGTGAATGTGTGTGTCCACAGAGCTGGAGGCTGAGGAGTGGTGGAAGTTATTGTGTTTGGAGTGTCTGGGCAGCAGACTTAATGACATCAGCCTGGGAGAACCGGACTTGTTAGCAGCAGGGGTGCAGAGGGAACAGAACGGTCAGTATCCAATTAGAGCCTGGCTTTTTGGGCGATTTTTCCTCTTGTGCTGCCTAAATGATTCTATTACAGGGACCAAATGTGTTTGTTAAACACAGTCCCTGCAGGTCTGTTCTCATGTTTATAAATGATCTGCTCGGGCCAAGGTTCTTTACTAAGCACTAATGGCCACTGCCGTGCATCAGAGCATCAGGCCATAATGAAGCTTGTCATAGAGATGGATGAGATTATGGCGCAGAAGAAAAAGCACGATGAATGTGCATGACACCTCAGCGAGAAAACGCTTAGGAGAATGAGCGAGAATCCTAAGCCAATACAATTCGTTTGCTTCTTAAATGAATGAGGCAGTGTTTGGCCAAATGGTTAAAGCAGTGGTTTCAGATCAGTTTTGCTGCTGAATGCAGATTTGAAAGTGAACTTTAAGTGGAAATTAAGTGGAGTTGGTTAATGTGCAAAAATTAATTACTGTACTTTAAGTGGTCGAAAACATTCAGTTGCTAGTATTTTTTATTCATAGATATACAATAATAAAGTCACTTTCAGGAACTAAAATAGTGTCAATTTATAAACACTTCATCATTCAGATTTTTTATCAAAATCATCATTAAAAAATTGAAGTATTTTTTATTGTGGCTGTACCATGCTAATACACTGCAGAAATGGGTTTCTTACTTTGAGTTTTTGTCTTTTTTCTAGTCTAAATATCTTAAAATTCTTAAATCAGGAAGCACTTTCTAGACAAGCAAAACATGTTGTCTTGTTTTAAAGAATAATATGTTAAAATTAAGTAAGTTATTCTTTAAAACAAGAAAAATTATCTGCCAAATGGGTAAGCTAAATAACTGTGTCAAAAGAAAAAAAAATATTTTGCTTGTCCCATTGGCATATTATTTAGCTTGTTTTAAAGGGCACCTATTTTACAAATATAAGATACAACTTTGGTGTCTCCAAAATGTTTCTGTAAAGTTTCAGCTCAAAATACTCATCAGGTTATTTATTATTATATTTATTGTACAATCTGCCTATTTTGTTGTCTGAAGGCTTTTCTAGCTGTTTTTGTAGGCTGCGGCTTTGAAACCAAATGAGCTGCTTCTCCCTGACTACTGCTCCAACATGCGTGTCTGCTTCTCATTCGTTACATCAGATAAACAGAAGTCAGTGATAAAGACAGACATGGATAAAGCTGAAACAAGGTCACTAGTCAAAAACACCAAGTACGTTTAATTGATGTATTTGTGGAGGAGTTTATTCAAACCTTTCTGAAATTGAGTCACACACACACACACACACACACACACACACACACACACACACACACACACACACACACACACACACACACACACACATATTTACTTAAACGTTTTAAACTTCTAAAATTAATTATTGAGGTGCAGGTGATCACAGAGAGTTGTGACATAAGTTTTTATCCCAGTTTCTTTGCAAAAAAAAAAATTCTGTTCTGTTATTATGGAGACATGGCAACCAATTTGGTGGGTGGGAAAACTGCACACCGACTTCACGTTGTGGTGAGCCTCAAAATGGGAGGGATTTGGATCCTGTTTTGTTGTCAGTAAACTTTAAAAAAGAGACTTATTGTGTTTATATCACTCCGATATGAAAGTGGACACACTATACCTACACACAGTTCTGTCCAAACAGTTGACAAAAGTAGATTTTCATCACAGGTGCTTCTTAAGGAAAAACTCACTTAATTTTGACATTATTTTTAAATGAAATATGTAAATTTTTTCATGTCTAGAAACCGCTTCTTGATTTAATGATATTTAGAAAATTTGTACCAGAAACAAGACAATAACATTTAAGTCAATTTTTTTTTTTTTTTTTTTTTTGCAGTGCAGAACAGTGTTTTACAAAACAACCAACTCACTTAAACAAAAGTCCCTTATTTTGTTTGTTATTTTGTAAAACCCTGTGATAGAAATTAATGAACAGCAATGACTGTAGCACAGAGAAAGACTTCTCTCTTGTCTCCCACAGAAATCAAATATACACACAGTTGTCAAATTCCCTATCGTGTGAAATATAAGGAATAAATCCAATTAGTAATGGGCAAGTCTAGAACAGAATTTTGACGCGAAGGCTTTTATGAAAGTGTACTGTTCTTTGCCTCTTTAGATAAGAACTGATCATCTGACTGCAAGTCCTAATGATGCTGGCCTGCTGCTATTGACTCCCAAAACCGAAATTATTGGAAATTTGATGCATTTTAAAGATATTTTTCACAGGGATATCTGCTTAAAGTTTCAAAGAAGATGGTAAAAGGAAGAACCTTCAAGTTTTATTGCAAAGAACTAATTTGAACTGTTTCAATAAGTTTTTAAAACTTGTTTAAAAAAATGTTTGCTGTTTTTGGTAACCTAATTAAATTCCATGCATTTGTTCGACTAAAGTTTCATTTTGTATGAACAAATGGTGGACAAATCTTGTTTTTATTAAAACAAATATAACAATGCATATAATAATAATATTATACAAATGCAAATTGTCATGAAAAAACTGAAAGAAAAAAAAAAACAAGGTGAAGAAAGCATGGAGGTAGTAGTGCATTTGGACCTGCATAGATGCATAACTAACATGCTCTGTGCTGGACTTTAGGGCAGCTTTTAGTTGGTCAACGGCACTGTCAATTTCAGTTCCTCAAAAAAGCAACAAGCCAACAATGCGCCTTAACACACTTTTTTTAGACACCCATAAGTCCACAAAGTGGCGCAAATGGATTTGCTATTTAAACAAAGTGGCACAAAACATTAAATTAAGGTTGCTCTGGTCTAAAAAGTAGCAACATTTTGCACCTTATTGCGCCAGGTGTATGATAGGGCCCTTAGTCTCCAAAATTACTTAAACCTCGAAACATTGTGTGCTGAGATGAATATCTTTACCCTGGTGAGCAATTTCATTTAGATTCTCTGTGTTATCATGTTCTTTCATGCATGACCAACCTTTTGGTGAACATGAATGAGTGACATTTATAAAAATGGCACTAAATAAATATTCTTATTGTATTTTATTATTTTTTGGTCACTTTTTAAATTAAAATTCACACTATTACCAAACTAAGTCTTTTAGCTCAATGAACTACTCATTAACTGCTTATTAATAGTTGTTAGGTTGGGTTTGGGTATTCTCCTTATTCTTCGCTGATGAGCGGGTGCAGCCATTTGAATCTTTTTGGCTCGAGACTTCCGGTCCCATTCACTTATTCATTTTTAGACGTAAAAAACTGCTCGTTATGCTGCTTGATGTTGCAAACTGATATGTTCTTATTATATTTTTTGCCGTTTATTATTCCTAGTAATTTTTTTCTCTTGATTTTTATTTTATTTTTTTTCCTATTTTTAAATTTGTAATTAATATTTTTCTATAACATAAATATGGGTGTACTAGTTTTTGGACTGTTATCATAAGTTATTATGTTAAATAAGCTCCAGATATGGCTTCAGTACTGTCTAATCTAATGTATATGCACACACACACACACGCATATATATATATATATATATATATATATATATATATATATATATATATATATATATATATATATATATATATATATATATAAATGGACAATTCCATGCAAATGTCAACCTTGCCAAGTACGGTAATTACCAAATCACGGTAACTGTTTCTGGGTTCTTTAGAAATGCTCAAAATGTCTCTGTCAGTGTTTTCAACCTGTTCTATTTGAAGTCACACAAGTGACATTTTTTCATCTGTCACATCCATAATGACACTTTTTCCTCATAAATGTGAAAATATAAATAAAAAAAATAAAACCATTCAAGTTTGTTTTCTAGTGAGCAACTTTTTTCTGGTCCCTTAAATCTGTGCTCAGTAGTTCTGTTAAATATAACCAAAAGTTTTAATATAATGTTAACATATACTTTCTATGTGAATTTATGTTTTGAGTTTTACTGCAAATATCCATAACGCTGTAATTGCTATATAAATGAATTTAAAAGATAGATTTGTGAAGGGTGTAATTATATATGCTGAGCACTTTCTAGTTGTGCTTAGCATTTAAGTACAGAGTCTTTACATGGTCATAATACAACAAGCATTTAGTTTGGGCTGGTTTTTGCAGCTGGACATTGCTTTACAATGCTCAAGTCAGTGGAGGAGTGTCTTTTGTCTCTCCAGGTGTGAATTATTCATGACCATTGTCCCTCCCATGCAACAGCTGAGATAACCCAAAATAGACTTTACAAAATGTAAATCATTGTAATGTTTTCTTTGAATGAGAGAACAGAATAGTTTTTACACAATTGTAAAGTAAATAGTCTACAAGACTAGTTACGCAAAAGTCTTGTTCAGGCCCAGTCAGTCTGTAGCTTACTTTTTTTTCCTTTTTTTTTTTTTTTTTTACCTCATTTCAGCCACATTTTTTGTCCACTAACCACACATTATATATATATATATATATATATATATATATATATATATATATATATATATATATATATATATATATATATATATATATATATATATATATATTTTTTTTTTTTTTTTTTTTCTAAAAAACGCAAGCATGTACATCAAAATTTCTCACATATTATTGTAGCACAGTTTGTGCTGAATACAAAAAAATACATGTTGGCCAGTGCTATGTAACAAGCAGCTGAAATAAGCACAAATGTCAGGGTATGTCAAAACATCTTAGGAGCCCCATAATCACCTCAGACCCTGGAGGGTTAAGCTAAGTTACTTTTTATTTTTTGAAATCACAACGAAGAACAAGAACAGTCCATTCTGAAACCGCAGCGGTTGTGGACCATTGCTTTAGGGATCCTCATCTCTTATCCAAGATCAGATTGTTTCAGTCTGACGATTGTCTGTGTTTATACGAGAGTTGTTTTTAAACATAATTTAGAAAATCAATAGCGGTTCATCTCCAAGTGTGGCTGGAGCATTCAAGCATTAAGCTGCTCGCAGATGCCATACAGAGTGATCATCACATTTTTTTTCAATCAAATGACAGGCAAATATTGATTTGTTTTCATAACGAGAGCTGGATGGGTATATGATTATATCAGCTGGAGGTCAGCGAAATGATCATTTCTCCGCTGTTCGACAGCTGAGGAATAACGAGCAGAGAGTTTGCCATTTGCGCTTCAATTAGACCCCTCCAACGGCAGTCCGCGATAATTAAATCAGAGTTAATTTTCACAATCCCTAAAATAGCCCCCCACATTACATTTGCCTCTTCCTCTCCAGAGACACATAGCTTATTTTGAAGCATTAGGTATAATTAGGCGCTATTAATTTGGATTATGAAGTGCACCCTTGTCTTTTGGAGTTAATTGAGATGGTGTGGTTACTTCAGCCGTGGTTTGGATCAACTGCAGCTCTATGGCAACAATCTATTGACCTTTGCGCTGCAGGAGCCGAATCTGCGAGACAGGAGAATAGTCAGTAGGGGAAATAATAATCATGTAAGATGGCTCTGTTGAATTCTTCTCAAGATCTGCTTTAATTCTGTCATCTTCAGGCTGAGCAAATCTTTCAGCTGCCCAAATAAAAGCTGCATTTTTACTCCAGATGTCTGTAGATTTGACAGCTGAATGGACCGTATCGCAACATTTTTAAGCAAATTGACTTTTTATTTAAAGAAACGTCAATCAAAGTGCAGTCGGGAACCTTTTCATGAATTTTCTTTCACATATGACAACTGGCAATTTCTGTCAGAGATGTTGCGGTTGATGAACCTTGGTCGTTTCTTTACTTCAGGTAATTCCACTAGGTTTTTGTCAGTCAACTTTGTTAATCTAAATTCAAAGATGTATTGGCTGTGCTTTATCTGTACTTGTTATTCAGCAGGATACATGTCTGGATCAAATTATATTAAAAACGTCACTTCTTGCAAAAAATATGCTTTATTATTATTTGCAACCTTGACCTCATGGGGTTTCATGGCTTGATTCTGGCAAACAACAACCACTTTTATTGATGCAGACAAAAAAAAAGGTCTAATTCTACTTCTTTTTTGTTTTTCATCTGATACCTTGTTTAATTTTTAAATGTCACATTACAGATAACATTTTGGATGACATTTTGTATTTATATGTTGTTATTTTAAATATCTTAATAAAGTACAGATCAGATAAAATGTTGTTCGCTTTTACATGAACCATATTTAACTCGTATGTTGCATTATTGCACCCATATTTTAAGAAACTTTTGTCAAGCTATTATTCTTGTATATGCTGTTTTATTTTATTTCATTTTGTATGTTTTTATTTAATTACATTTTTTATGTAATTTAATTAAATTTTTTATTTTATGTAATTAAATTTTTTAGCTTGTTTTTTATCAGGTGTTAGGACACAGAATGAGCTGACTGATTTATCTTTATTTTATTTTGTTTAGTTTTTTGGCTTATTTCTTTTATCAGGGGTTAAGAAGAATGAGGTGACGCATTTTATTTAATTTTATTTTATTTTCTCATTTTATTAAGTTTTTATTTTTTATTTAATATTGTTTGACGTAATTTTTTTGATTTTATGTAATTTTTTTGTTTAAATTATATATTTTTGTATTTAATCTTGTTTAATTTTGTTATTTTTTGTTGTATTTTTATATTTTTAATTAATTATATTGCACAAATTTATCTTATTTGTAATTTTAATTTAATTTAATTAATTTTTTATATTTTTAATTGATTATAAACTTTAATTATTTTTATTTTATTTTTATTTAATTTTCATATTTTTTTATTTTTTTATATATTTTTATAAAATTTTATTATTTGATTGGATTTTTTATTTTATTTTTATATTTTGTATTGTTTAATTTTCTTGTTTTTATTTTCTTGTCTTTTATATTTTAATTACATTTTATTAATTTAATTGTATAAATGTATTTATTTTATTGAATTTTTGCGTTTTTTTATTTATTATTAATTAATTTTATACATTTTTATATATTTTATTCAGCTTTATTTATTAATTTTATATTTTGGCTTATTTTCTATTATTGTTAGGACACAGAATGAGCTGACTATTTTATTTTGTTTTTATTTAGTTAATTGAAATATTTTTTATTTAATGTTTATTTTTTATTTTATTATTATATATTATTATATATATATATATATATAATCTCAACAAACCCTCAGTTTGCAGTAATTCTGACTGATTATAATTTTTCTTCATTTACTCTTCTTTATAGAGAGATTTAACGTATACTTGATGCCGACCCCAAACCTGGACATCTATGGAGAGTGTACGATGCAAATCACTCACGAGAACATCTACCTTTGGGACATTCATAATGCCAGAGTCAAGCTGGTCATGTGGCCACTCAACTCCTTAAGGAGATACGGCAGAGACTCCACCTGGTTCACTTTCGAGTCCGGGAGGTGTGTGAACGACACTCATTTCTAGTAGGAAGTGCTTTTGTCTGACAAGATGTTTTCATCCTAAATCCAATAGTCCTGATTCTGCTGCTCTGGATATCGATTCGCTGATTCATGAAGGTGCTCAACATTTAACATATGCTTTCTCCTGCAGGCTGCCTTTTAAAGTCCTACTATTACAACCAGAGCGTGAGTGTTGTGAAAAATAATACAAGCTGTTATTGCTTGACGGATGTGTGTGTTTGCGTGTGTTGTTCTCTTTCAGGATGTGTGATACCGGGGAGGGTTTGTTCACGTTTCAGACCAGAGAAGGTGAGATGATCTATCAGAGAGTTCACTCTGCTACGCTGTCGATCGCAGAGCAACATGAACGCATGATGATGGAGATGGAGAAAAGCTCACAGGTAGAGTCAAAATACACAGAACATAAATCTCTAGATCAATCTCATGGGTTATAGAGTATAAGGTTAAATTTACACTAGTGCATTTTCTTTTAACATGGCAAAAAGTATATGCATAACCTAATAATGCAAAACTGTATATGATTAAAATTATAATGGTGCTCATTATAAACAACTAGTATTAAATGGCATTGAGGAAAGAAATGTTTTTTTCCCCTATTATTCGTATGAGAACAAGATAAAACCTATGAAAATGTGTACACTCATCGGTCACTTTATTAGGTACACCTTACTATTGTAGTACCGAGTTGCGCCCTCAGAACTGCCTTAATTCTTTGTGGCATAGATTCAACAAGGTACTGGAAATATTCCTCAGAGAATTTGGTTCATATTGACATGATAGCATCATGCAGTTGCTGCAGATTTGTCGGCTGCACATCCATGATGCAAATCTCCCGTTCCTCCTCATCCCAAAGGAGCTCTATTGTATTGAGATCTGGTGATTGTGGAGGCCATTTGAGTTCAGTGAACTCACTGTAATGTTCAAGAAACCAGTCTCAGATGATTTGCACGTTATCCTGCTGGATATAGCCATCAGAAGATGGGTAAATTGTGGTCAGAAAGGGATGGACATGGTCAGCAACAATAGTCAGGTAGGCTCTGGCGTTGACATGATGCTCAGTTGTTACTAAAACTATTAAAACCACCTGAACCATTGATACAAGGCAGGATGAATCCATGCTCTATGTTGTTGATACCATATTCTGACTGTACCATCTGAATGTTGCAGTAGAAATCGAGACTCATCAGACCAGGCAACGTTTTACCAATCCTCTATTGTCCAATTTTGGTGAACCTGTGGGAATTGTAGCCAGTTTCCTGTTCTTAGCTGTCAGGAGTGGCACCCAGTGCGGTCTTCTGCTGCTGTAGCCCATCCGCCTCAAGGCTGGACATGTTGTGCGTTCAGAGATGCTCTTCTGCATACCTTGGTTGTAACTAGTGGTTATTTGAGTTACTGTTGCCTTTCTTTCAGATCGAACCAGTCTGGCCATTCTCCTCTTACCTCTGGCATCAACAAGGCAGTTGTACCCACAGAACTGCCTCTTACAGGATATTTTTTTCTTTTTCAAACCATTCTCTGTAAACCCTGAAATTGCTTGTGCATGAAAATCCCAGTAGATCAGCAGTTTCTGAAATGCTCAGACCAACCCGTCTGGCACCAAAAACCATGCCTCATGTGAAGTCACTTAAATCCTCTTTCTTCACCATTTTGATGCTCAGTTTGAACTGCAGCAGGATGTCTTGACCATGTTTACATGCCTAAATGCATGGAGTTGCTACGTAATTGGCTGATCAGAAATTTGCGTTAAAGCAGTTGGACAGGTATAGCTAATAAAGTGGCCGGTGAGTGTATGTCTATTATTTACACGTTTAATATAAAATACCAAAGATTTAGTATATATAGCCTACTACTAATAATAGGTAACCAAACTGAATTAAATTGAGTTCTTTTAGGCTTTTGATCTGGTGTTTTTTTAAAGTTTATAATGTGCAATTTTTTATAATAAAGTGCTTGAAATTGTTAGGGTTAGGTTAGGTTAGGTTAGGTTAGGTTCTGAAGTCTGAAGCATAATCTGGCTGTCTCTTTTAGATTAGATTAGATTAGATTAGATTCAACTTTATTGTCATTACACATGTAAAAGTATAATGCAACGAAATGCAGTACATTTAAGATGTGATTAAATTACATTAAAGAGAGTGATGTTGAGCTTCGGGCAAACATGCTAAATCTAAATTGTTCCTTAGAATACTTTACTATACTGAATGCTATATAAGAAATAGCTACTCATATAATGTAGCATGAAATACTCTGTGTATATAAACTGTATAATATACGTATATATGAAAATATGTAATTTGCCAAACCTGTAAATTTCTTAAAAATTTTTAAAACACATCTGGAATATTCTTGAAAAGTGCTTAAATTTGACTTAAAGAAATGGGTAAGAATTCTGTTTAAAGCTAACAAACGCTTGCTAGTTTAGCAAGCAATACATTAGCAACCAGATGTTTTGTCCGGTACATATTTAAGTGTAACTTTTTCTGTGTATGTATAGCTGTTTGATTTATTTATTTATGTCAGGATAGCAGTGCTGTAATACATTGTGTGCTTTTGTAAGGCACAGGTTCATTTAAAGATATTGTTATTATAATGCAGAAAAAATGGGCAATACTCAAGACATTCAATTAAACTGTATATTCAAACTAAAATGTAACTTATACTAAGCTAAACGCTAAACCTTGAGCCACTTAAAAACAAAGAAAACGTCAGGATGACCTTTTTGCCTTCTCTGTTTTTTTTTTTTTTTTTTTTTTTTTTTTACTTGTGGTGATATCAGAAAAATTAAACGAAAGTCAACATAATCAGAAAAAAAAAGCAATGTTCCCAAAACTATGGCTGGGCGATTAGGCACAATCTCAATTAACTGAACATTTTTACTCTATTATGGTTAATGAATGAAGTTTTTTTTTTTTTTTTTTTTGCTCTCATAGTTCACTGACAAGTTTTGTTCAGTAAATGTGCTCACATATTACATGTGAGAGATTTTTGAATGAAGGCAGGATTACTTGAGTTTAAAATAATTGAAGGAAACACTACTATCTATGATTATTTATTTAACACCAATGCTAAACAGCTGAAATTAAAACACACATTGCCTGAAACCAAGTTACGTTTTTTCTTATAAAACTTATAAAATTATCTTTTGGAAATGATTGTTTAAAATGTTTTTCATACTGAAAATAGAAAATAAGTAGTATCTTTTCTAAATAATAATAAAACAAAACTATTGCATATCCTCTAAATAATATTTTAAACAGCGCATTTCTTGCACCTTCTGTAAACAAATATTTTATTGTAAATAATAATTTGAATGTAATGAAAAATATGCTGTCTCAAGGTATCTCTGACACAGCTTTCAATCCTCGTCAATGTAGTGCAACGTAAAACTCAAGAATAGGTCCATCGTACTTGAACAGAGATCAGATGTGGCTGTAAGGTGGCAACAGAAGTGTAAATCAGCCTTCTGGAAAAAAGGTATTAAACTGTAAAAATTAGATCAATTATAGTTTCTGAATGTCGAATTGATTACTTTTAGATTAATCGCCAAGCCCTACAAGAAACCCTTAACAGCGAGGAAATGTGAGCACCCACTTTTAAAAGTTTGTTATGGTTATTCTACAGTAAAAAGAAAATCAAAACCCGAGCTGTCAAACTAAAAGGAACTATGCAGCGTTTCAGATGTCTCCGTTTTCAAGTATAGATGTGTTGAGGTTTTAAAACAAAAGAGCACTAATGTAAATGTAGCTTATATCCACAACATTGCACCTTAAAAGGACTGAAAAAGATGAAAAAGATTGCCTGAAGAAAATGTTGAAATTGTAGATCAGGATTGCAGCTTGCCTTTTACCTATTAGGATTCAACTTTTTTTAGTTACATAAATCCAGGTCACGGAATCTTTGAAAATGCAGCTGCAGTCAACTAATTCTGGACTGCGTTTCACTACTGGTCGAGTAGCTTCAAAAATGATGCACTTAGTGTATGTGATCCTATAGCTCAGCCAATAGAGCGTGACGTTAGCAGCAGCAAGGTCAAGAGTTTGATTCTCAAGAACACACATACTGACAAGAAAATGCCTTCAATGCATTTGATGAAGGTATAGTGCATTTGTGTAATTAAAAATTAAAATTAAAATTACATGGATGTTCAGTATCTCCAACTCATCGGCTCTCAGTACATCTGAATGAAAGTTTTTGTTCAATGTACTGGTGATTTAAAAACTGGTCTAAATCAGTACTTGACTCAAGAATTGTTTTTGTTTTAGGCATGTTCAGCTGCAGACATAGATCGGTGTATGACATTAAAGTACTACAGGAGTGATTTATAGAGCATTTTGAGCTATATTCTCTCTAATCACATTGCTTTGATATTGTACACTGATCAATCTGGGGTTGCTGAAATGTGAATGTTTTGAATGATATTGTGAACTGGCTTGAATAGTGGTTGATTCGTTCAAGAACCAAACATCAAAACATCAAGTACTTCCTTGTAAAATCAGATACATCCGTTCGAACTGTGTGATCTAATAAGGGAGGTCAAAACAACACAGACAAAGCCTATTACATCAAAATGATAATGTTTTCAATGTATAAATATTGATAACATTATAGTAAAAGTGAAAAACATTATAGTCTTTGAGATCTTTACTAAATATAAAGTAAAATAAAGCTGTTTATGACCTCCTTAATAATAGAACTACTAGAATAGCCACAGCGCTCATGTTTACATTGACTTAATACAATCTTAAACATAAAATATAGCATGAGAAAAAATTATAAATACCATAAAAATAACATGGTTTGGTATAGTCTTAAGGTTTTTCAGAATTAATGAATGAATTGTCATATTTTATGAAGTCATTATCCTAAAAAAAAATCTTTTTGTAATGTAGCCTATAATTGTGTACCTCATTTAGTTTGGCTATCTGGAGAGCAAAGTTTGTTTCTACACAGTGAAAATATTTAGCAGAAAGTAATGCCTGAAGTAAAGTCATATTTTCGCCATCAGGATATTATATTTTTTTGTATCAGAGGCACACATGCATAAAAAAACATATCAGACATTGAAATACATGTGGTCCAATTAAATGTTATATGGCCATAGAAGGTAGAAATAACAAGAACTATTATTTTTGCAATAACAACAGTAATAACAATGGTAATACAAACGATAACAATGATTACGTTTACATGGACATCAATAATGGAATTATATGCCTTAATCTAATTAAGACAATAATATGATTAAGTTGTTTACATGAGTTGCTTTTTGACGGTTCCTTTCATGATCCCGTTTTAGATGTTAAAGCATAATTCTATTATTCAATTCAGTTCAATTCAGCTTTATTTGTATAGCGCTTTTACAGTGTATATTGTGACAAAGCAGCTTCACATAAGGGTCATAGTAACTGGATCAGGGTAGTTCAGTTTTTAGTGTTTAAGTTCAGTTTAGTTTAGCTCAGTTCAGTGTGGTTTAAAGTCATTACTGAGAGTCCAAGCACTGAAGAGCAAATCCATCGATGTGTAGCATCGTCTACAGATCCTGAACCATGCAAGCCAGTGGCGACAGTGGAGAGGGAAAAATCTTCACCAATAGGAGAGTGAAGAAAAAAAAACCTTGAGAGAAACCAGACTCAGTTCGGCACGACCATTTTAATTTCTTCGCTGGCCAAAAGTCTTGTGTAGAGCTGCAGTCTCAGCGGTGGAGGCTGGAAGCTGGCCTCAGTGAAGACTTGTCTGTCCCTGGAGCGTCACTGGAATCAGTTTCATGCTCTCCACTCCCCAATGACCATCAGCGCAGCAGCAGACGAGTATCCCCAGGTGGAAATGGAGAAAAAAAGAGAATAATTAGCGTAGCTGCTGTTCATAATGTATATAAACAAGGTGCAAAAACTTTTGTGGAAACCCGCTAAGTGATGCGCTGAGTGTATGCTTTACTAAACAGATAGGTCTTTAATCTAGTTTTGAAGTGAGAGAGTGTTTCTGAGCCTCGGATGTTATTAGGAAGGCTATTCCAGAGTGTAGGAGCCATTAAGGAGAAGGCTCGACCTCCTTTACCTGACTTTGTTATTCTAGATACAAAAGCCCTGAGTTTTGAGATCTAACGTCTAACGTTTGAGATTAATGTCATTGCATCATCACGCTATGTTTCATGTAATTGCAGGTGTTTTATTCTTAATTTGTTGCCTTTAAATGCCGTTTGGCACTTTCACTTTCATTCAGCCACATTTTATTCATGCCCCATGACAAACTAGATATTGGACGCGAGTATGAACTGTTGTAAGAGTGCTGTTTTAATGGAATTTGATAGCGCACGATATACAGGGGAAAAACCTCCACATTCGTGATGTGTGCGTGTATATGTCTGTGGTCCTTTACTGACTCAGTAGGTGCAAAGAATAGTGTCAAACAGCTGTGTGTATACACTCTCCTGTCGCAAAACGTGGTGAAAAGTCCTACATGACGGTAATAGTTTGACTGCGGTTTTTTTATGTCTGTACTGCACTTTATTGTGACTAAAATCGGCATACTCCACATGTCTTATTTCAATATCTGTTTAATTTGGTCATGACCTTAATCGAATTAAATAATCAAAAGTTGCTGCTTGCATGGTAGACTCTTAATCAGAGTATTGTCTTAATCTTAATAAAATCAGATTACTGGTGTCCATGTAAACATACTCAATGTTAAAATGAAAAATACACATTTAGGAAGATATAGTCAATGTTAAAGGAATGGTTTATTTAATTTGTTGAACGCAAAAATATGTTCTTTAAAGAAAATTTAAATGTTTTAAAATAAGCTTTTCCTGCTCACCAAGGCTGCATTTATTTAATCAAAAATACAGAGTCACATGATCCTTCATAAATCACTCTAATATAGTAGTAGTAGTAGTAGTAGTAGTAGTAGTAGTAGTAGTAGTAGTAGTAGTAGTAGTAGTAGTAGTAGTAGTAGTATTGTTATTAATGTAATAGTAATAAAATAAATAATGACTGGAGTAATACTTTCATTTGAAACTACATACAATAAGTAATAAATAAATATTTAATAATTATTTAACATTTTTACATTTTTTTTTTACATTTAATGATGAACAGAATAATTTTAATATCAAAATTAATATTTAAAAAAAACTGACCCCAAAATTTTGACTGGTAGTGTATATTTTTTCTACTAATGATGTCAGTGGCTATACTCGTTTCTAATACTCTTCAAAATAGAAACCAGTTCACCTAAAGGATTTCATTCAATACTTTAAGTGAACTGGACTTTATAACTTATACCTGTATCCTGCACTTGCTGCTGTTGCACTCTTGGTTAGACCTAAACTGGATTTCCTTGCCTTGTACATGTGTAGTGACAATAAAGTTGAATCTAATATAATCTAATATAATCTAAAACATACATTATATTATACATACAGATAAAATAGACTCATAAAGGTTTGGAACAACTCGACGAAGCCTAAATGCTGTTTTTTTTTTTGTTTGTTTTTTTGAGTGAGCTCTCTATTTAGATTAGATTTTGTAGAAATGAAGGCAGATTCACGTATTTTCAATCATCCTGCAGAGCTAACATCCACAAGAGATCTGCATCTGAACAGTAAAATGTGATCATGCCACTTTTGTAATCAATGTATCATTGAAAGCACATTTGGGCTTTTCTCCGCAAGCCAGTAAGGTTGATGAATCGTTCAGTGGTGTGGTGCGGGTGGTCTTTTTTTTCCTGCACTGTTTAAACTGTGCTGCCTTGCTGGCAGTGAATCTGTGCTGTCATCTCTAAGGCCCTCAATAGAGGCTGATGAGACTTGACCATATGGCTCTCCGCTCACATCTTCCCATTCAGGACTTCTGCCAGAAATGTTGCTCGCTCTCAAATGTTGATCTAGCGTCTTTATTCATCCAAATTCTCTTAAAATGCTGCGATAAGTGCTTTATTTTAAAAGACTGCGGTGACATCACACCCCACCTGTCATCAGCGATGATCAAAAACAGTCTAATGGAGGTGCTGCTGTTTACTGCCAGCCTCCCTCTTTGAAATCCTCTGTGTAAAGCCCTTTCCAAGTGATTTGACTGGAAATATAACCAATGTAACCCAATGATTTTCTGCTCTGCCTCACAGACTCTTTCAAACGAGAGCACATTAACAAAGTCGATATCTCTGCCGCGAAGCGCTTACTGGCACCACATCACGCGTCAGAACAGCGTGGGAGACATCTGCAATTACCAAGGTAAGACAGAGCTCTATCCCACTCCACAGCTCAGTGAAAACACATCTCTGAACGTCTGTCGTATACTTACCAGGGTGACGATTTCATCCAAAGCTCCATCGGGTACATTTATAAATTGGTGCGCTGCACTGACTCCTTTGCTTGTGTGAGGTAAATAAATTCTGCGATTGAGTTTAGCATTAATATAGCAACACATTTGTTGTGCGTGTACCCTGCTTTTTTACATCCTGACAGCCTTTCTGGAGTCCTTGAGTAAGAAGTGTTTTGTAAGACGGTTTGAATGCGGGGATGCATTAGTGGAGCTGGAATTCAGACTGGTGGATTTAATTCAATACTTTAAGTGAACGTAAATTAAGCATGGAAGGTTTCCATAGTGATCTTGAATTAACCAGTGAAGCTGCAATCTTTATAGGGAGTAGATTTGCATAAAATAGCTGATCAGTATGTTCATGTAATCAAAACAGTGTGTCAGCAACACCTTACTGTATTCATGCTTATCAAACTGTTTGATGTGCTCTTGTTTACTATATGCCAGCAAATCATTTTCATACTGCATTCAGAATTAAATATAACAAACCTTTTTTTACTGTTTTCTCATCGATTTTCAGGGTAAACACCTATCCAAAAATAGTTGTGATTTTTTATTTATTTTTTTTCAAATTTTATGGTGTACTTTGACAGACAGAAAGTTCTGAAATTATAACAGGCTAAAATCTGCTTTTGATGCATTAAAGCAAGCATTAGTAGTTTGTGCATGTTAAGCACTCAGATTTAAGGGGGAGTTTAGCATGTTTAATGTACATAAGGTAGAGATGAAAAAAAGTAAAATGTGTCCCATGGTATACTAGGTGGCGTTAACTACTAAGTATTAAAACAATACATACAATGTAACAATAAATACAATGTAGGTTAACTCAACATTTATAACAATTTTTAGAGAGATCGTCTCCCACATCATTCAAACCACGTGTATAAAAGCATTTTGGCTTCCCTGTAAAATATTAGGATGGAAAATGTTTTTGTGGGATATTACCAAATGCTTTTTTAGGTTATTACAGTTTTTCCTCAGTGGCTTTGGTGCATTTCTCACAACACTATTAACGTTTGCACAACAGTTAATGCATTTCTCAAAACAATTAGTACAAACTGCAAAACTTAGTTGACAACCTGCAAAAGTGTGTCACTTGCTCAAAATGGAGAGCTCATTCCTCAAAAGCAAGTATTCATGTCAATCAAAGTGTCAGTGTCATCAAGATGAAAAGTCCTGACACCATTGTTTATGAACAAGATAGTCAAATGGCTTTTGTCATGTTTTCATTATGACAGTTTACTCTGGACATTTTTTTCCAATGCAAACGAGTCAGATTTTGGTGACTCTTCCTAAAATTGCTCAAGACAGCACTATATACTATTTGCACAACCATTTAAAAAACTGCAGTAAATTTAGACATCACTGCATTTAGTGAAGTATCTGAGTACAAGACACTGAATATGTATGTTTCACATTTTTACTGTATGCTCTTTGCAATTCCTATTTATTCAAAGCATTGTGAAAAAGAATAAATACACCCTTATTTACAACAAACATAAACTTCCTTTGGGTAGAGCTGTGCACAACTGTAAACAATATTCAATTCGTATTGGAACTGAACCTACAACATACATAAGTCTGTAAATCATTCATTCAATTGTTCAATTTAGAAGACATTCATTCATTCATTCATTTTCATTTCAGCTTAGTCCCTTTATTAATCTGGGGTCACCACAGCGGAATGAGCCGCCAACTTATCCAGGATATGTTGTACGCAGCGGATGCCCTTTCGGCTGCAATGCATCTCTGGGAAACATCTATACACTCATTCACACTCATACACTACGGACTGTACTGCATGTCTTTGGACTGCATCACTGTGTTCAGCATTTTTCTATGTAATGACTCAAGTAATGAAATGAGGACTATTAGTTTTATATGGAAAGACTATTCAGCATTCACAACACAAAACAGCAGGGTTGAATGACAGCAATTGATGCATGTTCAAAAGCATTTGTTGGAAGGAATGAGAAACTGCTACTATGATCTGCTCAAATGAGTAATTGTTTTGAGAAATGCATTAACTGTTGTGCAAATGTAAATAGTGTTGTGAAAAATGCACAAAGCGACTGAGAAAAACTGTAGTGAAAAGTGTTTTCTGATCACTGTTTAGCCTGCATTAATGGATTTAGTGTAAAGCTGCGCAATTTACCAATAAGATCAGGATCTCAATTCAAACCCACACAACATGAATAATAAATGAAAATAATTTTTTGTTTGTTTACTAATCCTTCGAAGCGTTGCGTTTTAATCTGTGCTTGATTGAGAGATTCAGTTTTTACACTTTTTCAGTTCCTTACAAAAAATAAAATTACACAGAAGTACTGGGAGAACAGTTTATAGGTGAAGATGTAAACAAATGTTTATGGTAAAGATTCAAATCACAGTTTAATAGAACTAAACACTGGTGAATGTTGTAGCAATTACATTTAGTAATCAATGGGTGGCGACAAACAACCATCAAAATTATGTCACTGAAGTGGTTTTCAAAAATTTTGCACCTATGATGAAACATTAAGTTTTACAGTGCAAGTTGTTGAATCATTAATTAAATATGAATATAATATGCTGTTCATTATTATATTTTTTCTTTTTTTCAGCTGTTCTTTTTTTATTTTTATTTTTATTAAAATTAAAAGTTCTAAGTTCTGTTTGTTAAAAGCAATGGTTTTTGCAATAATATTTTTGTATAAATGGAAAGTTCAAATTTTGTACAAATGACATTTTGTTACCTTTGCATTATAAGGTTCTACGTTCTGAATCATTTTAAGATATTGAGCTTCAAAGTTTTTACATTCCATAGCAAGCAGTATGTGTGTAACATTTGATTTTTAAATAAAAATCTTAACATTTAATAAGAATGTGTCAGTAACTCAATTTTGACAAAAATGTCAAATAGAACCTTATAATTGGTGAAATTTGTCTCCTCCCTTTTTGCTGATCTGAAAAATTGTCAGATTTGTAACTCATAAACCGTAGTGTGATCCGAATAATGAAATTTGTGATCCGTTACACCACTACAGTGTAGGGTTAGGGACAGTAAAATGTTGTTAGAGATATTAATTACATATGTAATTACATGCAGGTTGTTTAATCAAGCATACTATAAGTGCAATGTACTGTAAAAACATGCATTTAAACATTAGTTACATTGTAACAAATGAATCATTTCAGTGTAAGTACATATTAGTTAAGGCCCCCTTATGAAAAGTATAACTTAACATGTACTTAACATACTTAAGTACTTTTTTAAAAAATGTGAGTATAAATAGCTTAAATTATAAATAAATAAATTACAAACCGGCCAGCTATACTTCTCTGCAACTCTCTCATGGTCGACTAATATGAAGTGGCCAAATTGTGATACATTTTTTATTAATTGTTAAAATATTGGTGTCTGTGATGCAGCAAGTCCAGAAAATTCACTTTAATGTATGATATGTCTAGAAAGTGGTCATAAAGTAATATTTTTTCAATACAAATTAATAGTAGCATGGACCAGTTTTGTGCGAAAAATTTTCCAAATTAAAAACAACAATTTACTGATGATGTTCCAAACCTGAAAAACATAAGAGAAAGAGAAATTGAGCAGAATATTCAAGCTGTTCTTTTCTTTATAATAAGAGAGGATAAGCAGTATCAGGACAAAAGATAAATGCACTAAAATGATCATAAAAGGAGTCTGAGTCATGTACTACTCTTTTAAAAAATATAATAATAACTGCACAGAGCCCAAACTGAAGTATTGATTATTATTTTCCTTTTAAACATATTGATAGCTATACACACCATACAGTTTCATTGTAAGGAAAAACAGCTTGAATGTCTGCTATAAATATGTCTTCTTTTTTAGCTTGATTTCATTGATAACCCTGAGGATTTCTGTAAATAATAACACAATACAATGCACAAACCATGTTTAAAAATACATTCTGCATCTATTTGCTATTTGTGCACCATTGATTTTTTTCTTTATTGTCATTTTCTATGGACCTTTTTAGCTAATGCTTTTGAGTGTAGGATTGAAAGAGTGTATTATGGTCCATGTGGTCCAGAGATGCGTAGCATTAGGGAAATGATGTGTCCATCTGCCGGGAGAGAGATGAATTAATCTGGAAGCCACATGGGTTTCGTGTCTCAGTCTTTGTTAGGCTGTCAAACTGTCCTTTGCCACACACAAACAACCTGTGTTTTTAACTCTATTTCACTAGACACAAGCAGGAAATCTGAACATATGAATGTGTCATGAGAAGACTATCAGCTTTTATGGCGTGGTATTTGCATCTCTAATTAGGGGAAAAACATTTTTGCGGCAGTTTCAGTCTGCCTGCGAGGAGATTCCTGTTTCATCATATTGAATCATCCTTTAATGCAAAGTTAAAGAAGTAGCATAACATATTTTGTCAGACCATTGATATAGTATTTTTGCATTCCAACTATTGAGTGTAAATCAAATTCTCATCACATTTTATTTGCAGTCCTCAATCTTATGCATTCCACCAATATATTTAACAGACTATGGAAAATGTCTGAAAATAAATCTGTATTTTGTGGGTTTTTTTCTTCTGCTTTTGAATTGCTTTGTAAGACCTTAATCTTTCCCCCAGCAACTTTTGATATTCAAAAGTTAGAAAGGTATTTCATATCGTCATCTTGGAATCATGAGGTTCTCTCTGCATTTTAAATGATTTTGAGATATTAAACTTCAACGTTTTTGCTTTCCATACAGCAACAATAAGAGTTCACTTTCATACATTAACATGACAGAGACATTAAATGTATTGTAAATGTAAATTATCAAAATTCTCTTAAATCTGCAAATTGGGGTAAAACAACTGGGCAAATGCAGACAGATTGTTCTAATTCTAATAAGTCATTTTCCGCTTAAATCTGCTTAGTAATTTATTTA